AGAACACAGGTGGAGCAACCGAATTGTATTTAACGAAAATTGCAGAGTTACTCAGTAAAATCGGAAAACCATATCGTAAATCGTTAATTTGCAAAATATCAGTTCATCATATCGAACTGGACTGTTCCTGTTGCAAAACATCAATCCATTGTCTGACATTTCACTGTTCATGCGTTTCATACAAATTCCATTGTGTTCACACTCTTCCTTTCTTGATCTTCCCCCATCTTCTGCTGCCAGACACTACATTTTTACTCGCGTCATATACTACTTATAAGTAGCTTGCACCACAACATAATGCCCTCTACCTCTCATCTGTGGTGGTATTTGTTTTATAGATAATAACCGTTTATATATGGAGATGAGTGTTATTACACGTTCAAATCATCAACCAATGATTGTTAGAAAAAATCGTACAATGTACTCGCTACTGACTAGCTTCTTTGTTAGGAGTTCTAGTGAGAAGACATGTCCAGTGGAGTAAGACCTTGTCGTGTGTTAGGCAGTAACTACCGAACACAGTGGGATGAGGTCGCACAAAATCTCTAGATTGATTAGAGTTCAATATTTAACACCATTGGATGCCGACCAACTAAGTGGTTCAGAGGTTAAGAGTTCGTGCGCAAGACCGAAGGTCCTGAGTTCGATTACTGCGCGGTACAGGAGTCATGGATGAGTACTGCCACTGATGAGTCCCATAACAGGACAAAACGGTCGTCTTTCAGTGCTTCAAAGTTTCTAATGGTGGAGGTGGTGGTGACTAAAGGACGAGTGTACTGTGCAGTAGTTCGCTCTGTCTTACTTTATGGCTGTGAAACATGGCCAGTCAAAGTAGAAGATATTCGTATGTTAATTTTTTTTCGAACATAGGTGTCTCCGGGGCATTGCTCATATACCCTGGGACACCCGAGTGAGCAACGCTGTTATTAGGAAACGGGTGCTAGGTAAGAATAGCAGATCAATAGATGAAGTGATGAAACTTCATCAGTTGAGGTGGTTGGGACATGTGCTGCGTATGCCCAACCACCGACTGCCTCGACGAGCTATGTTTTGTGGTGTAGGAGTAGGTTGGGAGAAAGCTAGGGGCGGCCAAACCAAATCCATGAAGTCATTGATAAGTGGACTGAGTCATGTTGGTAGATGTAGGTTACCTGGTTGGGTCCGCGAGATGATAATAATCGATGGTTAGAGACGTTGAACGACATGCCTCAAAATCGTTCGCAATGGCGCCGGTGCATTTATTCTCTGTGTTCTCTCAAATCCTAATCTTCTGGGTTCTTCAACACCTCTAGTTTTTACTTTCTAAACTTATCTCATTGAATCATACTTCGTGAATAATATCTTGTAATCCTAACCTCTCCGATTACTTCTAATACCTTTACTACCTCTTCTACTCTATTGGATTTGAATTGACAATTACATCTCTGTGCTGATGTGGTATGGCAACATGAACTGATCTACTTACGTATGAAGTTCTACATTGCATCAGACTGACTGACTGACTAACAACAAGGATTGATTGAGGATTTGAACGTGTAACAACTGTTTAATTCAATTTCTTTTATTCCTTGAATTAGTATAAACATCAGTGTCAAATTTGTTTCACAAATTGTCATACGATTTCAGTAATATATGTATAAAATTGTTTTATACTTTTTCTCTTTCACATCACAATTTTATAGATAGTTTGGGATGATCGTCTTAAACAATGGATTGATGTGAATGATCCTGACGGTGTTAATGATTTGAACAAAATACCACCGCCTCCTTTGGCACCTTCATCGTCAACATCAACATCATCGCCCTCATCGTTTGTTATGCCAAGAACTGATGAAAATCTTATGAATGCTCCTCCCAATTATCATCAACAATCAGCCCCCATCATGTCAGGACCGATTGCATCACGTTCGAGTATGCGTCGATCACGTTATGTAAATATCATGGCTAATGAAACTATCCAATCATCATCACCGCTGGAGCCTCCTCCATTTCCAAAGACACCAACAAACAGCTAATAGGAATAATAATAAATGATGACTGATTCATTTGTTTTATTGTGTGCGTGTGTGTGCGTGTAATTTCTGTTTATATTTTTATGATTAGGTAAGTAGTCGCATCAGTTTTTGTTTTCTGTAATTGTGTATGTTTCTGTTTTGTTAAAACTGTTTATTCTAGTTTGATTACAATGAAATTTTGGTATTTTGAGGCAGAGTTTTGGAGGTTTGCGTTTTTACACATTTGAAATCAATCAATCATTGTGGTTAGACCTACCAGTGCTCACTAGTGACTAGCTTCTTCGTGAGGTAATTCTCGTCGGAGTTCTAGTTGAGAAGAAGACGTGACCAATGTAGTTCAACCCTCTGTCGGGTGTAGTAGGCAGTAACTACCAAAGATAAATGGGTGAGGTCGCGCAAAAATCCGTAGATCAATAAGAGTTAACACCGTTGGATGCCGCCGGCCCAGTGGTCCGATGGTAAGGCGTTCGCCTACAATGCCGAAGTTCCCGGTGTCGAATCCTGCGAGGAGCAGTAGTCGTGAATGCGCACTGCTGAGGAGTCCCACACCACGACGAACGGCTGTTTGTCAGTGCTTCCAGGTTTCTAATGGTGGTCTAACAATGATCGATTTATGATTTCAAATGTGAAATTTTGATAGCCTAATATTTATCCCCGTTATCCCCTCTACAATAGAGCATAGATCGCCGATCAGAGTTCTTCAATAACATAGTCTGTCAGGGACCTTGTTTTTTAGTGCTGTCCAATTATTGTTCATTCTTCTCACGTTTGTCTCCATTTCTCGGTGTAATATGTTCCTTGACCTTCCTGCTTTCCGTTGACCTTGAAGGTCCCAAGTAAGGGCTTGTCTTGTGACGCAGTTAGGTGATTTCTTCAATTTGTGCCCTATCCACTTCCAGCGCTTCTTCCGCTGGAATCTGATTTGTTCTCTCTCACAGTAGGTTGTTGCTGATCGTGTCTGGTCATCGAATCAGAAGTATTTTGCGTAGACGACTGTTAATGAACACTTGTGCCTTATGGATGATGGCTTTCGTGGTTCTCCAAGTTACCGCTTTACACAGTAGAAGTGCCTTGACATTTGTATTGAAAATTGTGACTTAGATGATAGCTGACTGTTGTTTTGAGTTCCAAATGTTCTTCAATTGTACAAATGCTTATGAAACAGTTCAAGTGTATATTTTCATAATTAGCTCGGTCATCATCAGTTAGCCATAATAAACTTTAGAGCATGCTTCAAGTGTCCTTAAATGTAAAAGTCACCATATCGACACATCACAAAATGAAATAGATTTTATTATTTTCATGGTATGATTCAGAGAGAAAAGTTTAGAAAGTCAAAACTAGAGGTGTTGAAGAATCCAGAAGATTAGGATTTGAGAGAACACAAAGAATTGATTCACCGGCGCCATTGCGAACGATTTTGAACCATGTCATTCAGGGTCTCTAACCATCGATTATTATCATCTCGCGGACCCCAACCAGGTAGTCCACAATTACCGACATGACTCAGTTCACTCGTCAATGACTTCATGGATGTGTGCCATGTTTTTAGTCTGGCCGCCCCTAACTTTCTTCCAACCTATTCCTACACTACAAAACAAAGCTTGTCGAGGCAGTCGATCGTTAGGGGAAATATACTGGACAGTCGTTTCGTCCTATTTTAGGACTCTTAAATTTTTTTCTCATGCACGACGTCGGTGTAACATTGTTTCTGGGTGCTAACTTATTAGTCTAGACGCGTGAAAATGGTTCACTGTACCTATAACTATTGTGTACAATTTCGAGCTAATATCACCCAAAGTTTCTAATCGCTGATTATTATAATCTTGCACATTTTAAGCCAGGTTATTTACATACCATAAAATAAGCAACACATTTCAGTTTTCAGTATGGAATTGCTGAGATTGACGTGATTTATTCGAATCGATGAAGTGTGAAACACTTGATTTAGGCGTTTCATTCTAGTAGCGAACTTCGTAATAGTGTATATTTACAACCTGACAACTATGTGTTGGTGTTTAGGGTTGTCAAACACAGAAAATGAAAGCTGGTCTTGAAAATATCATGTATTGATCGAAATTGTTTTTGTACACCATTGGACTCCGATTCAGTAATCTGATTACAAAACATGCATCGATCATTGTTAGACCAACATTAGAAACCTGGAAGCTCTGGACGGACGTTTTATCCTAGTGTGGAAGTCCTCAGTGGTGTGCATCCACGACCCGTGCTCGTAGGAATCAAACTCAGTACCTTCGATCTTGCACACGAACGCCTAACCGCTGGACCAGTTAGTCGCCCGGCATCCAACGGTGTCAATATCTAACTTTGATCAGTCTGAGGTTTCGCGTAACTCTCACCCAATGTCTTCGGTAGGTAACTGCCTACACCTGACAAGATTGAACTCCACTGGTCATGACTTCTCACTAGAAATTACAGGTTTCTAGTGATGGTCTAACAACGTTCGATTCCTGATTTCTAATGGAAAAAGTAGAGTTGTTCTCAGAGTGCGAAATTCTTCCATTTTTGAACAACGAAAACTGTGTCACACTCATATGATTTAGAGATGCTGATGAAAATTTTGTAGTTTACTATCTTCAAATCTAAAGTTGTTTGTGCTGAAAGCCTCCACAACTGAAACCTACAGCTCTTAGAATGCGAAACTCCCCGCCATGAAAACAGATCATGTCCATATTAGTATATATGAATAACATGTATTATTGTTTGAAGGAAGTCTTTTATCCGAAAAAATTTTCTTAACCCAAGTTTTTCTTTATTCATTTTCAGAAATCACTTCTCGTCCGACAACTTGTTGCAATAAAAATTCACCTCTCTCTCTGTGTGTGTGTATACCGATCAATCAATAAATCAATCAACCAATCATGTTTTTTTCCAATCGGAACACAATTAATTATCAATGATCATACAAAATCGGTGTATGGACATGAATTATTTATTATATGTGAGAGAAAGAAAATGTACTACTACTCTCTCTTCTCTCTCCAACCACAAAAAAATAATTATCTACACATACTACTTAATAATACTAATATGGCTTGTCTTAATTTATTGATTTTTCTCATTTAATTTTTTTTTAAAAACAGAAAAAAATATTCTTTGTTTTTCTATTTCATAGGTGTTATTCAATGAGTGAATTTTTTTGTTTTAATCATCCCTAACACAGACACACACACACACACACATAGAAAACTAAAAAAACGAGGTGCGTTTTTGCTCTTTTTTTCTTGAAAAAGGTGTTCCGTTATATCTTCTTCCTCTTCTTCTTCCTCGCATTCTCTCTTTCAAACTTTGATTATTTTCGTTAGAAAATACAGTGTTGATCTGTTCTACTGTATGATTGTCAATTTTGCAGCTCTAATGAGGAGCATCCTCTTGCCCAGCCGAGCCCAGCTCCGCTCCCCGTTTAATCTGTGATGTAATAATAACAGCAACTATGATTTCATGCCTATTGAACCATGTTGTCAATTTCTTATCATTATAATTTTTTTCGATTATGTAATGTTTGTTGAAGTCGTTTTTTCAATGTGTGTCTGAGTGTGTGTATGTATGAAGGTGTTCTGTTCATCATTGAAAGAAAGGAGACGGTGCATCAAAGTGAAAGATAGACAGACAGACAGTGTGAGATAAAATTATGTTTTCTTATTTTGTTTTGATGTATTTTGAGTGTGTGTGTGTGTGTGTGAGTGGGTGTGTGTGTGGGTGTGTGTGTAAAGAAATCACAAATACACATATGGTGTAAAAGTAAACTGTTTTATCAGTTGAGATTTTTGACGATTTTTTATGTACACGTGTATCAGTTAGTTACATGTGAGGTCCCCAGTGTTCGAGTCTGGAAGGCCAGAAGCGAAAGCTCTAATTGTTATCGACGATGTCTTATTTACCGATAGGTTAGAACTGGAATGACGCTCACACTAGTTTGTATGGCTGGAATGAAATTCACTATCAATTTCAAGAGCCTGGATCATGAAAAGTTGTTAGCTGTTTATGGTTCTATTCGGTGAAGACGCTGACAACATGCAGAGTCTTCTGACTACCATAAGCAACAATGCGAGCATGTTCGGGATGCGGTTTTCCCCCTCGAAATGCAAAATGTTGCTTCAAGACTGGGTTGCATCGGCACCTGAACTAGTGATAGGGAGTGAAGTAGTCGAGCATGTTGATCACTTCACTTATCTGGGGAGTCTCATGAGCGCTGATAGCCTGGTGACTGACGAAATCTCAGCTCGAATACAGAAAGCTCGATTGGCTTTCTTCAACCTGCGTCACTTATGGCGCAGGCGAGATATCGTTTGCTGACTAAAGGACGAGTGTACTTTGCAGTGGTTCGCTCCGTCTTTATGGCTGTGAAACATGGCCAATGAGAGTAGAAGATATTCTTAGGTTATTGGTTTTCGATCATAGGTGTCTCCAGATCATTGCTCGTATACCCTGGGACAACCGAGTAAGCAATGCTGTCCTTAGGAAACGGGTGCTAGGTAAGGATGGCAGATCAATAGATGAAGTAGTGAAACTTCATCAGTTGAGGTGGCTGGGACATGTGTTACGAATGCACAACCACCGACTGCCTCGACGAGCTATGTTTTGTGGTGTAGGAGTAGGTTGGAAGAAAGTTAGGGGCGGCCAGACCAAAACATGGCAGAAATCCATGAAGTCACTGACAAGTGGACTGAGTCATGTTGGTAGATGTAAGCTACCTAGGTTGGGGTCCGCGAGATGAAAGTCACCAATGGTTAGAGACCTTGAATGACATGGCTCAAAATCGTTTGCAATGGCGCAAGTGCATCCATTCGTTGAGCTCTCTCAAATCCTAATCTTCTGGAATCGTCAGCACCTCTACCTTTGTCTTTCTAACCTTATTTCACTGAATTATACTTCTTGAATAATATCTTTAAACCCTAGTCTTCTTCATTACCATTAATGCCTCTACTATGTTTATCACTATGTGATTTGATTTGACAGTTGCGTCACTGTGCTAATGTGGTATGGCAACATGAACTTATGTACATACGTACGGAGTTGTAGGTTGCAACTGACTGTTGGCTGTTTATGTACAACATTGTTTGGTTTTCATGATAGGCTAGTGGAGATTGTTAAGTTACCGTGAAATCATGAATCAATCAATGTTAGAGCACCATTAGAAATCTGGAAGCATCTTTGGTTATGGGCTCTGTGGTCTAGAAGTTGAGCGTTTAGGATCTAAGATCTTGCGTTCGATTTCTGCGAGTTAGGGTCTTGGATGCACACTGCCGGTGAGTCCCTTGCTAGGTCGGAACGGCCGTCCAGTGCTTTCAGGTTTATAGTGGTGGTCTGACATAGATCGATTCATGATTTCAAATGTGTAACTTAACAATCTTCACAATCCCGTATCATGCAATACTAGTGACTAGCTCCGTGGCGAGTCTTATCCGAGTTCTAGTGGGAAGACGTGACCAATGGAGTTCACCACGTTCGGAAGTAGACAGTGTATGAGTTTGCTCAAGACCGTGAATTGGTCGAAGTTAGATATTAGCACCGTTAGATACCGTCTAAGTGGTTCAGAGGTTAGGCGTTCGCGCACAAGACCGAAGATCCTGCTTTCGATTTCCGCGAGATGGAGTCGTTGAAACATGTTCCCGAACCATTGGTTCATCTCAGAAAATTTTGTAAATAAATCGACATTACCTTCACATGCGTTAGTAGCAGGACACAAAATCAATTTCTTAATGGGACCATGTTAGGATATTCATCCAATATCCTAAGAGAATTATTGGTCAATTCCTATCGGTTAATCCCTACTGGTCACTTTTATGATCGTCCGGTCCATCAATATCACTTCAAATGTTGATTCCTATTGGACGTCTTAACTGTCAATGTCACAGGCTTTGATGCTATTCCCTATTCGACCTAAATGTATAAATACGCATTATCTGTAACGTTTTATGACCCGGATCCCTAGTCCGAGATCCTTATCTTCTGGTCTCGGACCACGTACTTTCTGAATGCTTGTAGAATACAGGTTCTACTTCACATCAAGCCTTCTCTTTTATTCAATGAGGGTTAGGACACTTGGATTAGAGTAGCATGTTGTGTCGCTGGATCCTCAATCCTGACTCTCGTTTCCGACTAAGGTGAAACTCGTAATAGTTCAAGCATATCAAAATGACATGTTTACGTGCATGCGTAACAGACCAAAAACTTAAGAGAAGGTGGGGTTGTTCAACACGCCACCTCATTTGCCAGTGACTGATCACAAGTAATTGGTCTTATCTCTCTCTCCATTCACAATGTTTAGTTCCTAAACAATCACACATACACATTGAACTTGTTTATTTTCCGAAATTGTGAACTTTTTTCACAATGTAAACTTGATCTGATCAGTAAACATAGTATATTGTTCGATTATAATTATTACGGGGCTGTGAAGATTGTTAAGTTACACATTTTTGAAACCATGAATCGATCAATGTTAGACCACCATTAGAAACCTGGAAGTACTGGACGGCCGTTTCGTCCTGCTATGGGACTCATCAGTGGTAGTGCGCATCCACGACTCCTGAACCCCACAGGATTCGAATCCAGGACTTCCGGTATTGTAGGCGAACGCCTAACCGCTGAGCCGATGTCTAACGGTGTTAATGTCTAACTCGATCAACTCACGGAGTTGCGCGACCTCATACACAGTCTTCGGTAGTTACTGTTAGATGCCGGCTCAGTGGTGTTTCTTAGACTTAATCCTGAGTGCTGATTGATTCTTGTTTCCTCAGATATCGGTCTAATGTTCAAAATGACTATGTGAATATCGTTCTTAGCTCTCTTATCTGACAAATCGAATGATTATACTCAGAAGGTTTAAAAGAGATGTAATGTGCTCGTCAATTGATATGCTTGAATGCTATTACAAGTTCACCTTAGTCGGTAAACGAGTGCGAAGACAAATGATCCAGTGATACGATCGGCTATTCTGATTCGATTGTCTCCGACCCTGCTAACTACATCAAGAAGTTATGATAAAACGTAGAAAGTGTATTCTACAAGCACCCAGAAAATACGACGTTTCCCAAGCATACAGATTGAGTTTATTTATATATATCATAGAAACGTCCTTGGGAGAGCCACAACAATAGCGTACTAAAATAATACATCAACCAATGACAGCCAAGGATTTCCTGAGTGGGATATGTAATCTCCAGGTCAACTGATTAGCCCATGCGTAGAAGCATAAAATCGAAAATTAGCACATTTGTCAAGTGAGTTCTGGGGATCTAACGTCTGCAACAAGATTTAGATGTGTCATAAAGTCGAAAAATAGGCCACATGATCTCATTGCAATTTACTAAAAATTTCACTAAAGAACTCAACATTTAGAGCCTACAACCAATCTGATCGATAAAAAGATTGCGTTGTTTTTCCCGTTTAGCGAGTTGATGCTTTCAGACCATTAAGAAAATAATATAAAGACTAGATAATTTGAAATGTATGAATTCAATGTAGATGACAAGATTCTCTCGGTTCATTTTTATCACTTCTGACCTGTGATGATAGGTCAATAATGATTGTTTGAAATTTGAACGACGACTCTCTAATCAAAGACCATGTAAATGATCGGGAATATTACCGAGTCAGTCAGTTACAAGGTAGAACTTCGTACGTACGTACGTACGTACATCAGTCCAAGTTGCCATACAACATAAGCACAGAGATGCAATTGTCAGTTTAAGTCCCATAGTAGAAGTATTAGCGGTAATGGGAGATTTTAGGGTTTGAGATGTAGATTCAAGAAGTAGAATCTAGTTACCTAAACTTAAAAAGAAAAAGGTGATGAGGAACTCTGAAGATTAGGATTTGAGAGAACACAAAGAATAAATGCACCGGCGCCATTGCAAACGATTTTGAGCCATGTCATTCAGGGCCTCCGACCATCGATTTCTATTATCTCGCTAGCCACAAACAGGTAGTCAGCACCTACCGACATCACTCAGTCCACTTGTCAGTGACTTCATGGATTTGTGCCATGCTTTTGTTTGGCCGCCCCTGGCTTTATTCCAACCTATTCCTATATCACAAAACGCATAGGCATAGGCAACACATGTCCCAACCACCTGAACTGATGCAGTTTGAATACTTCATCTATTGATTTGACATCCTTACCTAGGGCCCGTTTTTTATCGACAGCATTGC